GCAAGTTGATTTGAGGCACGTATTCTTTCCCTTAGTTCCTGTAGATAGTCATCGTAATTATACGTCAGTTTAGGCGGTTTTGTTAGTGCCGTCGGTAGTTCGACTTGTCGTCCGTATATTAATTCAAAGGGGGTATATCCCGTAGCTGAATGAGGAGTGGTATTATATGTAAACATTGCGTATGGCACCCATTCATCCCAGTCGGTTTGGTCAGCATTTATATATTGTCGCAAATATTCGGCTAATGTGCGGTGCGATCTTTCTAATGCTCCATTACTCTCGGGTGATACGCGGTTGTTCGTATCTTTTTTATTCTTAATAATTTGCATATATTTTTAAATACTTCGCTCATAAAATTTGTGCCTTGGTCTGTTAAAATTTTTTCGGGAATGCCGTGTTCAAAAATTATTTTCGTAACAAACTCTTTCGCGACGGTATTTGCTTCCTGATTTGCGATCGGTATCGCTTTACTGAGTTTCGTCAGGCTATCCTGAAATGTTAGTAAGTATTTGTTTCCGTTAGTGGTAACTGTTAGCGGTCCGACGATATCTAATGCACATTTTTCAAATGGTTTATTCGGAGTATCTGTGATTACGAGGGGTGCTTTTATTCGGCGCGATAATTTATTTTTTTGGCAGGATTTGCATTTGGCGATATATTGTTCGACATCTTTTGTCAATCCTGGCCAGTTGTAGTTTAATCGAATTCTTTTGATTGTTCGTTCGATTCCTTGATGCCCTCCTGTGGGTGCATCGTGATATTCATAGAGTATTTGTTTCTTTTCCTCTTCAGAATATTTCCTTGTATTATCCGCGAATTCTTCCTCTTCTTTTTCTTCTTCTAACGTGAAGATTCTATTTTTTGTCTCCTCGTTGATATCTCGGGTTACTTGTTGGCTTAGCGCGTCGGCATTCGCGTTTGCTCGTCCGGCCTTGTGTATGATTTCATAATCATATTCCTCGAGTTTCAGTCTCCAACGGATTAATCTAGACCCGGGGTCGGTTACATTGAACAACCATATCAAGGGTTTATGATCGGTAATTATTTTAAACTTTGTGCCATAAATGTATGGTCGAAAATGTTTAACAGCCCATACAATTGCCAATAGTTCCTTCTCCGTAGTATTATAATTTTGTTCCGCGCGAGATAATACTCGGCTGGCGTATGCGATAGGTCTATCCTTGCCTACCGTTCCTTGTGATAGTACGGCTCCGATTGCATAGTCCGAGGCATCGGTAGTCACGTTGAATTCTTCATTGAAATTCGGATACTTTAGCACTGGCGCTGTCGTTAATTTTTCCTTCAATTTTTCAAACGCGATTTGTTGTTCGTTTTTCCATTCGAACGTTTCCGTTTTCTTCGTTAATTTTGTTAACGGTTTTGCGATTCGCGAAAAATTTTCTATAAATTTCCGGTAATAACCCGCTAGTCCGATAAACGATTGTACGTCTTTTACTTTCCGTGGTGTCGGAAAATTTTTTACCGCCTCTAATTTCGACGGATCTGGCAGTATACCGTTTTCGGAAATAATATGTCCAAGATATATTACCTCTTTTCGTAAAAATTCGCATTTGTCAGGCTGTAGTTTGAGACTATGTTTCCGTAGGCGTTGTAATACTTCCGCGAGTCTTCTGTTGTGATCCTCTAAACTGGATCCGTATATAACGATGTCGTCGAGATAAACGAGACATCGGAGTCCTTGTATCCCGGTTAGCACTGAGTTCATAAGTCGTTGGAAAGTCGCAGGCGCGTTTTTAAGTCCAAACGGCATTCTATTAAACTCGTAGTGTCCGTAGGGAGTCGAGAAGGCTGTTTTATTTTTGTCGCGCTCGGCCATCGGTATCTGGTGATATCCAGATGCAAGGTCGAGCGTCGTAAAATACTTCGCGTTTCCCAGCTGATCCAAAATATCGGTAATATTCGGCAGTGGGAATGAATCGCCTATAGTCAATTCATTTAACTTCCGGAAATCGACTACTACTCTTAATCGCGGTTTGCCTGTTGCGTCAGTCTTTTTGGCACTACTAATAACGGTGCATTCCACTGGCTAATGCTTGTACTAATAATTCCGTCTTTTAGCATTTCCTGTACTTGTTTGTTCACTTCTGATTTGTGTTTCTCGGGAAGGCGATACGGTCTCACATTGACGGGTGAGGTATCGGCGCGCGTGCTTATCTCGTGTTTAACGTTGCTGTGCATGACAATGGTTCTCCGCTTAAATAAAACACGTCGCTATATTCTTTGCATATTTTCTGTATCGCTTTCCTTTCTTCCTCGTTTAAATGTTTTGTGTGTAACAATTGTCAAATTTGTTCGTCACGCGTTAATTGATTCGGAGTCTCGTCTATATGTATCGTGTACAACTCGTGCGCGTTATCTTCGCAAACGTCTTCTACGGTTACGAGGGGTGTGTGTATCTCGACCGGCTTATCAGTTGTATTAATTACACTGATGGGACATTGGTAATTCTTCGGTTCTACCAAACATCGTCCGATATAGATTCCTGGGGCGGTTTCTTTGGCTCGAATGATCCCTGTCTTATTATCATTTGTTATTGCGTGTATAATTGTTTCACTACGCGGTTTTAAGATAATTTTGTTGTACGGTTGCAATTTTAGGACGGCGTTTCCGATTTGTAATTCGCGTTTTTTGTAATCGCACGTGACTTGCTGCTTCTGGAGGAAATCGATTCCTATGATCCCGTCGTATTCCATTGGGAAATCATCTTTCACGACGTAAATCGCGTGTTTTATCTTGTTTCCGTTTAGCTCAATTGTCGCGTACATTTTTCCGATCGTCTTTGCTTTATGACCGGTTATTCCAACAAGGGTTATTTTATTATTGTAAATTTCGGTCTCGCCCTTCAAGTGTTTCACTTTTATCAATGAAATCGTAGCTCCCGAATCGTAAAGCATATTTACTTTTCCGCGTTTTGCCTCTCGCATAGGCAGAGTAATTATATTTAAACTCGCTCTCTCTCTCGGCATTCGGCGCACGTGTGTCACCTGATATTCGAGCGCGCGAGTCTTCTTAATCTTATCTCCGCGCTCTCCGTCTTCATCGCTGCTACGTTCGGACTCGGAATTTCTCTCCTGCCGGATTCTTTGATTATCTATTTTATTAATACTTCGCGGTTTTTTTCGATCCTCTGGCTTGTTCCGTGGGGGCGTATTATTTTTCGGTCGCCCGTTCAATTCCCAACATTCTTCGCGGTTATGTCCACGCTTTTTGCAATGATTGCAAAATTTTTCGATGGCGGATACGCGCGAGGATTTTTCCGGTTTCGGCAGAACGTTAACCTTGCTACGACAGTCTCGTCCGTAATGTCCGGGTTTTCCACATCTATAACATTGTCCCGTTGTTCGCTGTCCTGACCGCGTTGATTCAGGCTTATTTAGCGAGGAATTTGTTGCCCGTGACATGCTAGGTCCGATAAATCTCTCTTCCGTGCTCGCGCCGGCTATCGCTTCTTGAAGCGTCGTATATCGTTGTGAGCGTACGAGTATCTTTAAGTCGCTTCGTAGCCCTAATTGAAAATTTAATAATGCTTGGGTTTGGATCGTTTGTAAGATAGTGCGTTTCTCTGAGCTCGTTTGGTTTCCTCCCTCTATCATTGAATCGTATAAATTCATAGCGAGCTGGTCGACGCGTTGCCCGAAATTTTGTGCTGTCTCATTATATTTCTGCTTTAGCGAATTAAATTCTAATTGCAAGTGGGCAGTACTTTGCTTGCATTGGTATGCGGTCTCTAGTTGTTGCTTTAATTCTTCAAACGTTTGTATGTCTCGCGTTTCGAAAACTTGCATGGCTTTACCTTTTAATTTAGTAAATAGTATGCCTTGTATCAGAGACTTTTCGTCTCCGGGATGTATGTTTGCATTGTATATGTGCATGCGTTTAGAAATTCCTGAAGGCGGTGTCGCGATGTACCGTCGAATTCGGGTATCATCATTCGCGCTTCTTTTAGAGACATATATTGTCGTGCAGTACTCCGTCGATTTCGTACGTCGCGCTCAGTCCGTCCGTAAGTCATACGAGGCTCGTAATCGGACTCCCGCTGTTCGTCTGTGTGTGTGTATGCCTGTGCGGCTTCTATCCTATTCATACGTGTGTTTAGTGTATGTAGCTCTGCATGTATAGCTTGTATTATATTAAGCATTTGTGAAGTTTCTCCGGGCGCTACGACGGAGGGTTGTTGTGACGTGACGTCTAAATTCTGTCCCATTTGTGCAAGGGTTTGTCGGAGTATGCTTATTTCGGCATCTATCGCGGTTGGCGGAATAATTTCGTTCACGTTTGTATTTTCTGCCATATTTATTTCGCTATAAATTTCTTCGGGATCGAATATTTCGCTGTCGTATGACGTTAATAAAATTCTCTCCGCGAAGATACTCTACTCAGAGTTCGGCTGATATACGGTCGCAATCGACGCGGTTCGTTTTGAGTTACTTGAACGGAGTCGCTTGGATTATTTGCGAATATACTCGCGTTAAAACTAGTAAACGGAAATTCTCGTTCGTTTATTACGTTCGGAGGTAACTCGGTATTATTTTCGTTTGTCAAGTCGCTGTCTAAATTTCTACGAACGCTTTCGAGATTTTGCGCAGTTAAAGGCAATACTCGCGTCGTTAACCGTACAGGTGTACTATGCAACCACGATTGGTTTTTAATCGCTTGTCGGGGTGTTTCGTCACCTTCCGACATTCACGCAATCAAATAAATTCGGACTTACAATATAACGGCTCGCATCGTTACGCTCTATACGGGTCGGCTGCTGCTGCTGCAACTCGATCGCTCGTGGGCTGATAACGGCGGCTCCGTGTTGGTGATAGATACGGCGGGTCGTCGCTCGTGTTGATGCGATTGTATAATAGCTGACTTACTAATTTATTATTAAAACTATATTAATATAATATAATATAATATAGTTATAGTCATTCAGACTATAACAACATGGATGTTGAAGAAAGACAGAAGTAAGATTTATCTGAGTTTTGATGTAAATGGAAAGCAACTAATATGTATTTCCATAAATTCAAAATATTGTTTTACATTTTTGTTGCTACTATTCTAAATTTTAATACTAATTACATCATTATTACACAATAATTCATATTATCATATTTGTAAATAAAGATTGAATGAATGTTTTCACGCCACTGAACACAAAGTGAACACAGTAGAAATAAAGAATAAAGATAAAAACTATAATATTATTCATCGTTTCAAATCGACTCTCTTATTTGCATATATATCAAAGACAAAAAATTATTAAATTCTATCCATTGGTAAAATTCGGGTATCACTTGATCGTCGATTAAATTAATTAGAATTTGATTGAAGTCATTCTACTCACAATCAGATATGCTCATTATTATTTCTTTATCGCTATCTCTTACTCAAGCATCATTAACATTCATCCGGGTTGCAATCATAAGTCAATATATAAGATACGTTTTCTAATATTTTATAAAATTAAGAGGCGTGCAGACAATAGGCAATAGTACTTATATCAGTAGAAACTAATTAATTATTTTTCTTTCTTTAATTAGCAAAAAAACAAAATTTCGCATTAATAGAAAAATACCGTCAAAAAAAGAAACTACATATTACGATTTTAAAAGCAGTATAGATAAGAAAATATATGTATGTTTTATCATCTTGTATATATATATATATATATATATATTATCTACATATATATACATTATCTTACTTTTTTAAAAGGTTGACTAGCAAAAAGTTAACAGCATCTTAAAAGTCAACTGCATTTTCTCTAATTTAAAAAATAAAACTTAAAAAATAATAAAAAAATTAAAAAACAATTAAAATAAAAATTAAAAAATAATGTTGGATTATTCGCTCTGGAGGCCAACATAACATGAATTCATAAGATTTAATTCTTGCTCCAGATTTCGAGAACGCTCCATGCGCTCTTTAGCATGAGCTAGCCATATTTTAATAGGTGCAGCAATTTGCTCATCTGTTACATTTTCATGTGATTTTCGTATCACACCTGGAAAAGTAACATATTTCTACAAATTAATTATTTCTCAATAAATAAGAACAAATAAATCTAATTTATTTAAATCATCAAGTATTAATTTAAATCAACAAAATAATATACGCTTATTTCTAATATATACAGAGTGTCTGATATAGATTGTGCAGTCTTTTATTGTTTTGCAATTTTTGTAATAATTATTGAAATAAAATAATTTTTAAAAAATAGCAAGAGCCAAAGGAGGAGTGTCAATAAAGCCGTTTTTTTGGCCCGTGTCAGAATCGCTCCAAACTATGATATTTTCTTCCTGCCGATGTAGCTCACAATCTCCTAGAACCATTTGCTGTCCGAGCAATTAGAGACTGAGAATGGGCAACTTAAAATTTCAAAAATCAATGGGATTTACAATATTCTCCAAATTCACAATGAGAAAGTGAACAGTCAATAATTGAGGAATTGGAAGTAGGCACCGGAAAATCTTCAATTAGAAGATTATTCGCCATTAGATTGGCCGCTATCTCCACCTGACTCATTGTCAGACCAGTCTGAAATGTTCTCAGCATCTTGGATATATTGTGCGTAGAATTGGGATGATCGTTCTTGAAGTCTTTCAGAGTGTCTTGAATACCGCAAATACCAAAAGACAGCGGCGAATGCGACATGTGCACAACAACCAACAGTTCTAGTACCGACCTTACTATTGGCAGTAACAGGATATGATGGCATTGAGTCCTTGACTATATTCAATCCACAAGTTATGCACCTTTGATGATGTGTGGCGCGATTGTATTTGAAGATATAAGATATTTCTCTCTTGCCTATAGACCAACAGTTGATACATCCCATTTCCAGCCGTGTGCTCCTCTGCATAAGATTGCACTTGTTTCAACTGATATGAGCCAATTTAATTAACTCAATTAAGGGTATATATAACTCAATAAAGTCAATTAAGGGAAATCAGGTATTGAATCCGCAATTACGGGTTGCCACATCAAAAGCAACACATACTCTAGTAGTTTTTGAGAAAATATAGTGATGAAAGCTTAACAATGATATGTTGAAATGAGACCGGCACTACAACCATGTAGAAAACCCCATTGATTTTTGAAATTTCAAGTTGCCCATTCTCAGCCTTTAATTGCTCGGACAGCAAACGATTCTAGGAGGTTGTGAGTTACATCGGCAGAAAGAAAGTACCACAGTTTGGAGCGATTCTGACGTGGGCCAAAGAACGGCCTTATTGACACTTCCTTTCGTCGCGCAATTAAACTTTTTGTGTCGTGAAACAATTGACTGGCCACTGACATGCCTAGAAAAATTCTTTTTACTAATATTTCAATAATTATTGCAAAAATAGCAAAATAATAAAAAGAATTTTTTGTTCAGTTATTATGTTCAAACTGTTCATGAGAGCTGGCACAATCTTTATCAGATATCCCAGATAAGGTAGTTAAAAAATATTAATATTTTGGGGACATATTTTAATAATTAATAAATGCCACAAAAATTTACAAATGGCTTTCAATTTGTAAGCAAGTATCAAATTCGTTAATAAAAAAAGACTAATTTTAAATATTTTACTTACTCATAATTATTTTGCATATATCCAGATTTGAAAAAACGTTTTTCTTCTTGGCCCCGTACCAACTGTATTTCTCTGCAAGTTCATTTGCAAATATAGATTTTATTATTCGTAAACATGAAGTTTTTAATTTGTGGCAAGTGAGACGTGTCAATTGTTTGATCTGAAATTATTTTATAAAACTTACATTAATAATTATTTTCGAAATATATAGTATTACTTCTTAAATAATCGAAATTTTATATTACTTCTTAAATAATATTCTTTACATAAAATATCTGAAAATGAGAAGGATACAATCTTAGGATCTGCAACTCTTAATAAAAATATTCCAATAAATATATGTGGGTGGAGTTCCGAATAGGTGAACCCTCCGATTTTTTTGAAACTACACTATTTTTTGTATTTTTGAACGCTGATTACGAATATGATAATGAAAATTTGCGACTAGGTCATTTTCAAGGTCAAAACTCAAAAAAACTGACAAAAATATAATTTTTTAGACATTATTTTGATAAATATTAATGTAAGAAAAAAATGTTTCAAATAAAAGTTGTAGTTCTTGTAAAAATACATCATTTATGCCGTATACATTTTTTGCGTAAAACTGAAAGTTTTTGAGAAAATCGATGTTAAAGACTAAAAACGGCGGGTAAAGTTCCGAAAAGTGCTCTTCTCTGATTTTTTGAAACTCAGCATTCTTACGTATTTTGATGCACTGATTACGAACATTATAGTGAAAATTGGCGCACCTTTTATTTTCATAGTGAAAATCAAGAAAAACCCATAAAAATTATAGTTTTTAACAGTTATTTCAGTAAATACGACAAATCATGATAAATATTTTAGACAAAAGTTTTAGATCTTACAGAGAAAAACATTTTACGTCCTATTAATTTTTACCGTACGAATGATAGTTTTCAACAAAAACGATGAAATCTAAATCTTATATCTGTTCTCCCATCTAAGCATGTACTTTGCAATACATATACGATTCCACATAGGTTTACAACTTTCCACGTAAAGTGAGGTTCCACGCAAACCTATTTGTCTAGTTTTTCGATAGTGGAGCCCCTCGCAGGGGGGGCGGAACGCACTGTTTCCACGCATACACTTTTCCACGCGAAGCGAGATTCCACTTGGGTTTGCAACTTTCCACGCAGAGCGCGGTTCCACGCAAACCTATTTGTCTAGTTTTACGGTAGTGGAGCCCCCCGCAGGGGGGCGGAACCCGCTGATTCCACGCATATACTTTTCCACGCGAAGCGAGATTCCACATGGGTTTGCAACTTTCCACGCAGAGCGAGGTTCCACGCAAACCTATTTGTCTAGTTTTACGGTAGTGGAGCCCCCCGCAGGGGGGCGAAACCCACTGATTCCACGCATATACTTTTCCACGCGAAGCGAGATTCCACATGGGTTTGCAACTTTCCACGCAGAGCGAGGTTCCACGCAAACCTATTTGTCTAGTTTTACGGTAGTGGAGCCCCCCGCAGGGGGGCGGAACCCACTGATTCCACGCATATACTTTTCCACGCGAAGCGAGATTCCACATGGGTTTGCAACTTTCCACGCAGAGCGAGGTTCCACGCAAACCTATTTGTCTAGTTTTACGGTAGTGGAGCCCCCCGCAGGAGGGTGGAACCCACTGATTCCACGCATATACTTTTCCACGCGAAGCGAGATTCCACATGGGTTTGCAACTTTCCACGCAGAGCGAGGTTCCACGCAAACCTATTTGTCTAGTTTTACGGTAGTGGAGCCCCCCGCAGGGGGGCGGAACCCACTGATTCCACGCATATACTTTTCCACGCGAAGCGAGATTCCACATGGGTTTGCAACTTTCCACGCAGAGCGAGGTTCCACGCAAACCTATTTGTCTAGTTTTACGGTAGTGGAGCCCCCCGCAGGAGGGTGGAACCCACTGATTCCACGCATACACTTTTCCATGCGAAGCGAGGTTCTACGTGGGTTTGCAACTGTCCACGCAAACACTTTTCCATGGGAAGCGAGATTCCACGGAAACCTATTTATCTAGTTTTGATTCATGATACATTTTTCGTTGCGTAGGGGTCTTGCTAATATTTTCTGTACCTAATACTTTTAGTATATTGTTGACTCATCATATTTTTAGTAAGGTGAAGATTTAATAAATATAAACTCTTTGCGCGCACATATCTTGCGACTTTTCATGCAAAGCAATGCTTACCATCCATCGTTTGATGCAAAATTTATTATTACACTGCTTTACATGGGTTTGCGACTTTTCTTGCAAAGTAAGGTCTACCTCTTATTGTTCTGTGCTTCGGATGCAAAACTAGGTTTATAATTATAGATAGTTTTATATAGTTTTGCGACTTTTATGCAAAGCGTAAATTTCGAATAAAAGTTTTGGAGCCTAATTAATAAGGTTGTTTCTTTTAATTTTTTTTGTTACGAAAAAAATGGATAAAACATACAATTTGTTTTTATTGGCGTCTATTTTTCAAAATCGTTCATCAACTCTTCAGTGGTTGAGAGAAGTTGGTTTGATTCCAACACAAAGGTTCTGCAGTCATCATAAAAAATACATGAATTTGCTAGAATCTGATCTTGAATGCGGAAGATTCCTTTGTATGAAAAAAGGAAAGTATCGACATACTGCGACTGTTGCGGAGGATACATGGTTCGAGAGGTGTCATATTTCTCCTGCGGCATGTATTCTCATAACGTACTGTTTTTCTGTCAATATGTCGTTTAATCAAACGATTCGAGAAAGCAGTATTATTGATGGGCGGTATATATCTCGTGAAACTGTAGCCGATAGATTTTCTTTTTGTCGAGAAGTCTGCATGGCTGCACTTGATGAGGAGTTTCAGGAAGAGGGTCTTTTGGGAGGTGGAATCATAGAAATTGACGAGTGTAAGATTGGTCGTCGGAAGTACGAACGAGGACGTGTTGTTGAGGGATCATGGATTCTCGGAATGATTCACCGTGGACATGCTACTAATTATCGGCTCGAAATTTGCCCGGACAACAAGAGAGACAAAGATACTCTTGTAGCTTTAATAAAAAAACATGTGATGCCTGGGACTGAGATCCATACGGATTGTTGGAAGGGATATATAGATTTGGAACATCATGGATATGTTCACAAGACGGTGAATCATTCTGAATTTTTTGTAGATCCGGAAACTGATGCTCACACTCAGAATATTGAGTCGTCCTGGCGCTGGATGCGTCGTGAATTATCTCACGGTGGTGTTCAAAAGAGTTCTATCGCTGATCATTTGTGTGAATTTATGTGGCGTCGTCGACTTCGACGATTGGGTCAAGATCCTTTCAAGCAATTGATTATCGATATTAAAAGATGTTATCCGGGAAAGGAGTAATATATTTAGCGTTTTATAAATAGTTTTGAAAAATAAAAAAGCGTTAAAAAAAACAATTAAAAATGTAAAAAAAATACAAAAAATATAAAAAATTATAAAAAATATTAAAATTATAAAAAAATTATAAAAAAATATAAAAATTATAAAAACAAAAAAATGGAGTCAGTTCTTCGTCACGTCTTCGTCGTTGACTCCGGGTTCGGCTGAGAACGAAGAATATATTAATGTTTGAGAGGGTTTTTCTTATCTAATTTTTTTCGAAAACTATCAGTTTTACGCAAAAAATTTATAGGACATAAATGATGTATTTTTACAAGAACTACAACTTTTATTTGAAACATTTTTTTCTTACATTAATATTTATCAAAATAATGTCTAAAAAGTTATATTTTTGTCAGTTTTTTTGAGTTTTGACCTTGAAAATGACCTAGTCGCAAATTTTCATTATCATATTCGTAATCAGCGTTCAAAAATACAAAAAATAGTGTAGTTTCAAAAAAATCGGAGGGTTCACCTATTCGGAACTTTATCCATATATGTTAATGCTTTTTTAAAATTACTATAAAAAACTAATTTCATGTAAACATAATTTATATATATATATATATATATATCCTAAGCTATTGTCCTGTTTTTTTAAAGAAATATAATATTGAATTATTTTTAGTATATATATATATATATATATATATATATTGAAATATAAATCTTCAACTCACCATTTGATTTCGATAAGATAAATCATTTTTTAATTTTTCTTCCATGAGTTGAAGACTGTATTCATCTTTGAGCGGCAAATCTTCAAAAACATCAATTTCACTTTGTTCCACATCCAAAGTTGAGCTGAATGAAAGTTTATCCAATATGAGTTTTTGATATGTATTTATTACTTCCATTTTTTGGCTGATATTGTCGATTTTTAATTCCAAATTCGATAATTCTCTAATTACAATTTCTTGAAAATTGTCCATTCCTATAAAATATAAAACATTGAAAAAAGTTAATTCATATCTGTATGAAAACAAAATTGATATGTACCTGGTGTTTCTGTATGCATCTCCTGCCTTCTTGCTGTTTTTAGAAGTGAGCGTGCATCAAACGCTAATTTTGAAAAGCAAGAATGTTTTTCTAATCTTTCAAGTAAATCTCTGAGAGCAGTATGTGAAATTTGATATTTTGTAGCCCACAAAGCAAGCCTATTTTTCAAATCGTCTTTTGTATTTGCATTTTCAGATGCAATATAAGGTAGTGATTCGTGAGAAGATTCTTCATTTAATTCCAGATATTCATCATTTTTTCACATTTAATAAATACATTATTTTCTCCATAAATAGTGTTATTTTTAGTTGTAAATGTCTCACAACGATTATGTAAATTAATTGTGGAACTGCTTCTCGAATATTCTGGATTGTTATAATTATCTGATAATATACCCGTATTTAATAAACTGTCACTTATCAATTTTGATTCTGCAACTAGTTGATTAAAGTGCCTCTTCGATATATGTGAAATGTCTTTTCTGGGGCGCTTTCGATCCATTGTTGTATTTCTATTCAATAATAAATATAAATGATTTGTGGTATATTTCTGAGTATTATTTTTAGGGTATGAAACAAAAATTTATTTAAAAAGGTTTATTTATTAGTTTTATCAGTTTGACCTTGAATGCTTTAGATATAAAATTAAATATAAATATAAATTTTATTAAAGAACAACAAATACAACTTTATTACACTTTTAAAAAATATTAAAATAAATTTTATATTTTAATTTAAAATTTTATTATACATTAAAACAAAATGTTAAAGATTTAAGGGAATGCCGGAGCGACGGCCGAACTCCGATAGGTTAGCACCACACATATCTAAACATATGCACGTATACAACACATACGCGTAAAAATGTTTTTAATATATAACTTTTTTATTAGACTTGCAATCTCACTTTTAATCGTTTACTAATAATTTTTCATATTATCCTTATCGCGTATACTATATTTCATGCACAGACAAACTGCAGAACTTTTTTATTAAATAAGTATTATTACGAACTGACACAAAGAAGCCGATAACAAAACTGTAATTTTTGATTTTTATATGATTTATACAGGGTGTCCCATAATTCGCAAACCACCGCGAATGGGCAGATAGAGCGTGTTAAACTGAATAGAAAAATCCTGTATCATTTTGTGTACGATATTCGCAATAATTATTGAGTTATTTATTAAAATATCTAAACGAATAAGCAGGTAGAAAGCATTATTTGATCGAGGCGGCGTCATGCAGTGAGCGGCGACCAATGTAGTGGCGCCGAAAAGTAAGATGATACTTTTGATACTAAGCGGTACATGCACACCGAGTCCGGCCTACCGCTTTCTACCCGTTCATTCGTTTAGATATTTCAGTTAATAACTCAATAATTATTGCGAATATCGCAAAATGATACAGGATTTTTTTATTCAGTTTAATACGCGCCGCTCTATCTGCCCATTCGCGGTGGTTTGCGAATTATGGGACACCCTGTATATGCAAACATAGCTAGCGCGGTCCGTTTTTATAAGTACTTTAATCGTGAAAAAGGATTTATTGATCAGTATAGTCAATAAAAAGTTATATAAAAAAAACTAAATATTCTCGCATTCGGTCGGTAAAAACATCATCCGGCATCCCCTTAAATATTAAATTTTTATTTATTTTATATTGACCTTAATTATTTAAAATTTTAAATTGAACTCAATTTTTTAAAATGGAGAACTATCTAATTATTTTATATAAATGAATCTCATAATTCTGCATAAAAAGTTATAAAATAGATAAAAAATTGAAAGATGTTTTAATTTGATGTATAATTTTGATATAAAAAATACAAAATAACTCAAAAAATATTAATTTTTCTATGATTTTATTTTAATACCTTTTATGTACAAAATGACAAAAATTAATTAATGTAAAAAAACAGTTGTTTTTAAGAAAAAATATGTACAGGGTTTGTCCGGAAAGTAATGCGTCGCATTTTTTTAAAAAAGAATTTATTGATCGCATAGGTAAAACAACTTAAAATTGTTCGAAGTATGACCCTTCTGCGTCAATACATTTTTGCCAACGCGATTTCCATGCGTCATAAGATTTCTGGAACTCCTTGACTGGGATGCTGTTCAGGGAGGCCGTCGAAGTAGCTTGTACGTTGTCAACCGACTCGAGCTGTTGTCCTTTGAGCTCCCTTTTCAGCCGAGGAAATAAAAAAAAGTCCGCCGGAAATTGGGATTATCTGCACAGAGTTGCTTGAGTTCTTCACAAACTTCCACTCGGTGTTGCTTTTGCGCATCGGTCAACACTCTGGGCACAAGTTTTGCGCAAATCTTCCGCATGGCCAAGTCTTCCGATACAATCTCGTGAACAATCGTTTTCGGCAAGTTCAATAATTCCGACATTAAGCGAACATTCATTCGACGGTCTGAATTCAATAATTGGCGCACACGAGTCACATTGTCGTCCGTTCGCGATGTTGACGGGCGTCCTGCGCGGGCCTCGTCGGCGACCTCCTTCCGACCTTCTCTAAACATCTTGTGCCATCTGTTTGACTGCGATTTGGAAAGGCAATCGTCCCCGAAAACTTTCTTGAGCATTTCAAAAGTTTCCAGCGGCGTCTTGTCCAGCTTCACGCAAAACTTTATCGCATAGCGTTGCTCTATCGTTCTCTCCATCACAAGTTCGACGCGACCACTAAGCAGAGGTTCACAGAATAAGCCGTCCTAACCCTCCAAGCGCATGGAAACAATTGAGCGACCTACCGTTGGAAAGCTAAGGGTACCCCCCTTCCTCCCCAACCGGTCCCATCGCTCTGCGATGTATAGTCGCGTCACAAAAAAATGCGACGCATTACTTTCCGGACAAACCTAGTTGCTTACAATTTATATACTTTTTGTGAAGATAATTTTTCTTTATATCAATTGATTGCTCAACTTTGTATACAAAAGTATTAAGGTAAGATTATAAATATTTATATGATAAATATTAAATATAATACTGATAGTTAATTTAGATAGTTATACACACACACGCGCGCGAGCACGCACGCACGCACACACACACACACACACACACGCACAGGGTATACTATTTTAAATGTGCATTCCCAATAACATCAAGCAGAAAGTAGTTGGATGAATGTTTCATAAAAGTTGTTGGATTTTAAGGGGAACATTCAATAGTGACCCTGACTTTATCGTGGATGACCTTGATCAAGGTGATTTCAAGGCAAAATGACCTTCATATGACCTTTAAGAGTCAATCTGACGTCACCTATTTCCTTACGTTTTTAACGTAAAATTTCCCGCTCTATCGATTTCCGATATCAAAAATAGGTCATTTCATTTGAAAAATTAAAGTTAACCTTGAAATCTCCTTGATCACGATCATCCACGATAAGGTCAGTGTCACCATCGAATGTCCCCCTCAAAATCTAACAACTTTTGTCTGAAACTTTTTTCATCCAACCACTTTCTACGATGTGGGATGCACAATTAAAATGGGACACCCTATATATACATATACATTCCATTCTTCATTTTATTGTTTAACCAATATATATATATATATATATATATATATATATATATATATACGATTTGAAAAATACATAAGACGATTTGAAAAATAGGCTTGCTTTGTGGGCTACAAAATATCAAATCACATACTGCTCTCAGAGATTTACTTGAAAGATTAAAAAAACATTCTTGCTTTTCAAAATTAGCGTTAGATGCACGCTCACTATATATATATATATATATCTAATATCTAAAAATATATATATATATATATCAGGATGTTTTAGGAATAATGGTCTATATTTTAGAATTGTACACATTATTTAGAATAAAAGTTATACATATAAACATATGTCCTGTTCTAAACGGTTATAAAGATACAACAGATTTAATCTAAAGCACGAATACATTTATTTTAGTAGAGCCAAATTCTATAAAACAATTACATTAAATTTTTGTCAATGTGTTACGAATGTAAATATTAGATTATGTGTGGTAAATCATTAGTGTGAAATTTTTACTTTTTGATGTAATAAAAATATTTTATATACAAACTATCAAAATTATTAATTAATTTAAATTATTATTCTTTAATTATGCAAATTTATTGTAAGCTTAAATTTTAATGTAAGTTATTTCATAGAATTTAATTTTATTAAATTAAAAAATGTATTTATTCTTAGGAGTGAACACACTGTATCTTTTAAATTGTCTTTAGAATAGGAAACATGTTTGTATCAATTTTATGTATATATATATGTATATGTATAATATATATGTATATAATTATAATATATATATATATATATATATATGATTATATACATCATCTATCAGAAAAGTAATGAAATTAAAATATGTAGTGCATAATGTGGCAACAGTAAAAAATTATAATTATGCAGAATATGAAGTATAATCCTTTCTTCTAAAGTAATACTTTTCAGTGTTACTTTTCTGACAGACCATGTTTATAACCATGAAAAAAAACAATAATTGGATTGACTAAGATTTTCAAATTTTTATTTTATTTTAACAATAAAATGTTTACTCATTCTAAGAATAATTTGGAGCTGCAAAGTAATATTATTTGATTAAGTAAACATTTTGTTGAAATAAAATAAAATTATATTGAAAATTTTAGTCAATCTGACCAATCTTTTTTCTTAATGTAGATAGAGATATGCAATACATAAAAAATTACACTTACTTAATACTTTCTGACCCAATAAATACATGGATGTAAAACCTGGTCGCACGCTCAATCAATCTTTTCTTGATTATGCTGCAACATAAAAATTATTAATAAACTTACTTAACAATACTTTAAACATATAAAATACTTAACATGTATCAAATACAAAGTCAACGACACACACATGCAATATTCACAAGCGATCAAACTCACTTCAGGCTTTGTGCTCCAGTAAATAAGTGGATGTTAAGAAAGGTTGCACACTCTATATTTTCTTGATTATACTGCAACATGAAAATTACAAATAATAATGGCATACTTTACATGTATCATATATACGAGAAATAATATACTACAAGAGATGTTATAGAGATGTATTTAGTACATTATGTACAGTATGTAAATAATATACTGATGATTCACACAAATGAGTATAGAATGATGTTAGGGATAATTATTTGAGTTCTAATGTAAATGGAAAGCAATAAGTAATATAAGTTCATTGATATTGAATTATATTTTTATATTTCTTTTGCGACTTTCTAAACATAACCTCAATTTTATGAAATGTTTTACCGTGATAAATTATTAAAAAATGTGGCAAAAAATACTAAATATATATATATACATATATACAAATAAAATATTCTTGAACTTTATTTCACGTCTAATAAAATATGTAGAAACGAAGAAAAAAGATTATCTCTGAATTCGTCGATAATTCGTAAAGAGGATCAACCATATCATGCGGTATCAGGCAAAAATTAAATAGTAAATAGACCTCGGAAATAGGGATGGGCGATATAGTATCGATATTTCAAAATATCGATATTTTTTATTTTATAGTATCGATATTTTGTATTAATATTTTATCTTTCGATATTATTATGTATCGATATTTTAATAAGTGTATCGAACTTCCGATACGGACGCCGTAGAGCAGTTCTGTGAAGGTAGCCTACCAAAATTAGATTTTCGAAGTTTCAATAATTGGAATTAATAGTTGGTCTTTTATTGATCATTGTTGATAATATTTTAGTTTTTGTTGGTTATTAAAAAAATAAATATCAATATGAAGTTAGCCTACCTAAATATACAATTTTAATAGATTTTAATTAATTATACGTCAAATCGATAGGAAATCGATTGTTGGTCCCAATTATGTCTTTAGAAATGATTGTTGGTCGATTATTTACTAATCCCAGATAGCCACAGTAATTATTATGACATCATTTTGATGTCAAAATGCATCATTTTGATGGCAAATGATGCATTTTGATATCAAAATAATGTCATAATAATTACTGTAGCTATCTGGGTAATTATAACAAAATAATTATTTTTCAATTGCTCACATATACTGCGCATGCGCATATATACTGCGCATGCTGTTTCCAACTATTAAGTTAGCTCTCTACAAATATATTATTCCGCGATCAGAGAAATGCACAATTAGATGAAACAGGTATTTTATACAAATACGTTTAAATTGACACATTTATAATTAGTCTTAGTGTATTTATTAGGATTTTAAGTAATTATACTAACGATATAAATTTTGTGTTGAGAAAATCAGTTATTAGAAAATTTATGGTTATTACAGGTGAAAAATTAAAAAAAATTATTGCTAAATTAAAAAACAATTAAATTGTTATATTAATATTTCTTATTTACAGATATTTGACTATGGCTTTACGAGCACGGACCAGGGAGCACCTTTTATTAACCTTAACCTGCTCCCGTTGACAACAGCGAGTATTGCTGATAGACAATTCCCACATCATTCGGTAGTTTTTTAATTGAAAGAGAAGTTGTTGACTATAAAAAGACCAAACTATAACAGTGAGGATTTCGAGAAACTTATCAAATCTGAAATGAATGTAAGACCAAATGATGTCGCCCTTCCAATCAAATTGTGTAAGATCTCTTCTGTCATTCGAAATATAAGTTGTTCTCACTAATTGTTCTTAAGAAGCTGAGCTCGAAATGCCCTGTTTGGGACAACAACAGGAGAACGAGGAACGGCTGAGGGTCTCAACTAAATAAGGAGTCACTTGATTAATGGACAGTATATTAGAGATATTCATTTAATATGGAAACACAATTGTACGGGTGCGGTTAATTATAATCGCCGGCCAAACACTTCGAGAGATATCAGGATCGACTCACTATGTCGAATTGCGTCGCTATTTTCACGGTTACTTCAAATCAGAAATTGCGAGCGAGATACAAAAACGTTATCACGTTAACAAAACCGTTAGGTTGCTCTAGTCAAGTCGAATATCGAGGGCTACAACCAAAAAGGGCAGATGCCTTTCACTCGAGTCCCCCGTAACTCTTCCTTCTCTCCTTTTATACCCCAAAAGCCTAGCGAGCGCGCGATCGGGAGAATACCCCCAGAATACCGGGCCTGGGTCGCGTAACGGGGCGCCGACCGACCAATTAATCGGGTGTCATGCTTTCCCCGCGTGTTCGCCAGTCAGTTCGGTGGGGAAAAGGGGAAAAATTTCTTACAATTGTTAAATCATTATATGCTGGAGCGTAAATTGGATAAAGCTTATAAATATGCCGCTAGTGTGGAGGCTAATGTTCGTCACAGAAACAGCATCTTGTGGTATCAGCTATTATATGAGTTATTGACAAAGTGTAAAGAGACTAAATCTTCTGATTGGTCCTTCTGGTTTTTCTATATATCTATCTGTATCAGATAGATGCAGTGCTATGTCTCAAGGAACAAAGCTGTGAAATAAACAAAAGCATTTCAGAAGCAGCACAAATAGTATTTAATTTTGATCAAAACTTGTATGAGATGTAACTAAAAACCTTTTCTAAACAACACGCCTTTACGAAGCACTTGCTTACACATATGTGGGAATAGTTTTATTTGACATGCTTATTACTATGCAAAACAAAACGTGAACAGGAAAGCCGGAGCAAAGTGGGAAGACTATGTGTGCCTGTATTATTATAATCGCTTTACATACATATCCGATGGAAACTCGTACAAGCATACACTTATCGATGCTGTCAAGCTGGTTACATTCTTTAAAATTATGCTAGGGATGATACAAAGAAACTGTTAGATAGAATTGATAAATTTTGCACAGGACTTTGGAGAGAGTGTATTTATCAGAGAATTTTTGTACCAGAACACATCTCGACCATATGCAGAGCTCATTCTTTTGTACTTATTCAGCTGCTGATCCACCTCTACGTTTTTGCAGAGCAAATCAACTGAGACATTACAGTCAAAAAAGTATGTATAATAATTTTACTTTAAATATACAAGTGAGAATTTCAAAAATCAGATTTGTATTATAATTATGTTATCTATGATTTTACACAAATATATACGACATAATGATGCATACACATATTTTTGTTAATAATAATAATTTTATATCTAAAATTATATAATTCAATTTTGCAACAATTTAAATCATAAATTATTAACATAAAATATTAACTTAAAGCAATCTTAAAATATAGCTCATGGTTGTTTGCTACAGTCGCACAGAGAGAGAGGAAGTATGCTTCTTTACTTACTATACTTATGAAATGAGACCGTATTTTGACTTACCCCCACCACTGAAATTCTAAGGAGTTCGGTCTCCTGAACTGCGTTCCGATTTTCCACCTGGTGGGTAATGGAGTGAATAGGTGATAGGCAAAATCTAACTAGTGTCTAGTGTCTAAGAGGATTATGGAATCAGAACGCACTTGCCATAATTTTCCGGTGTGCGAAGTTTGAAAATAAATAGCAATCCTCAAATTATTGGAAACATGGATGAACACCGGCGAGCTGTTGCACTTACTGCAATTGCTTTCAGTAATGATTTTCTTCGTTGCAATGTATTTTTTAATACAGACAGCAAAACTAGTGATTCGGATTTAGATGAAGGAGATATAAAAAGATTTCAGTTACGTGGAGTTCAACGAAAGCCTTCAAGAGTTGAAGGTTATGTTGAAAGAATCATTCCGAGAATGAACACAACAGTTTAAAAGACATTTTCGTATGAGCCCAGCAACTTATGAAAATCTGAAAGCAAAACTTGGTCCTGTGCTCTCATTTTCTGAAGGAAAACTGTTATTCCAGTAAGAAAACAATTACTGGGATCATTATGGTTATTAGCAACACCTGATTCTTATCGGTAAGTTTCTGATTAATATTTGCTCTTGTACTCTTGTACTTGTAATGATTTAATTAGTATGAATAATTGATTTCAGTTCTGTAGGGAAAAGTTTGATCTTGCTAAGAGTTCATTATACAAGAGTTTCATGAAAGTTATTAAATGTTTGAATATATAGCAAGCTAAATCATTTCATGGCCAAGAGGCGAAGAACTTGATAGAGTAAAAGCAGACTTCAATAAGAATTCACCATTGCAAGGCATAATTGGTGCAATTGACGGTACACATATTCTTATAAAAGCTCCTAAAGTAAGTAACCATGTTATTGATATCCATTGTAACCATAACATAAATAGGGAGCTTTCCGCAATGGCCCAGAGCGACATAGTGTATTATTCATCTTCTTTTCAATACCAGTAAACAACAAAGATAGAATAACTTTGGTCGCTGTGTGTTGTTGCTGAAAAACTCCCATAATAAGAATTAGGAAAAAAGAAAAATAGTATTATAAATTTCTTTCTTTTTAGATTGATTCCTAATATTATAGAACTTATAAGAAAACATGCCATAATTTTGCAACAGTCTGTGATACTTGTATGAGATTCACTGACTGTTTCGCAGGATATGCAGTGTTAGAGTTGGAGATTTAAGTTTTCAAAAATTCAGATTTATGGAAAGAAGTTCAAAGAGATAAACAATCTTACTTTCCAAATGGCGAATTCATTATTGGCGATAAAGCATATCCCGTATTAACATGGTGTATTCCCCATATTGATCGTGGTCAACTTACAGTTGTAAGATAATTTTATTACATATCTTATATTTTTTGTAGTAAGAGAATTTGTTTAAATATATATATTATATCTTTTCACAGGCTCAGAAGAAATTTAATACCGCTCTTTCATCAAAACAATCAGTAATTGAATGTGCATTTGCATTATTAAAAGTAGATTCCGTAGATTGAAGTTTCTCAATATGAACATAAATGAATGATCCCCCATGTCATAATTGCTTGTACAGTATTACATAATATATGTCTGGATGGTATTGACAAAGATGTAGAGATTACATACAAGAAGGTTTGGAAGCAGTGAAAATGATGAAGTTTATGTTGGAAATATACTTAATGAAGAAGCAGGAGAAATAAACGTGAATACTGATGTGCACTTGTCACTGAAGCTTAATATTAACACAAGTTTATTTTTTTTATAAGACTTAAAAAATATTATAACTGTTGTAATATTTAATAGAGTTCATTGAAATGTACTATTTTATATAAAAAATGTTACTAATGTAAATATTGTAAAATAGGCACAATAAAATTGAGGAATAATAAAATATATTTAATTATCAGATAAGAAAATATATGTCGGCTCTCAATATTATTAATAATAATAATAATAATAATACATGAATTTTAAATCGGTCAATAGAGCCCAAGCGCGAAAATTAATTCTACGGACTGTATCTCTTGGTTTGAGATTACTAAGTTCCATATATAAATTAATCTTGAACTTACATAAGAGAAAAATAGGCGAGAAAAATATAGTCCGAAAAGTCGCTGAAGCGGGAATCAAACTCGCGTCTTTCACTTTCCGGGCGAAAACGGTTTACTAACATCTACTAAAAAGGCAATGAATATAGGATCGAAAGGTCTGAATACTTAGTTGGTAAGAGCAGTCCGATGAATAGAAAGGGTTTTCAAACGGGAGTCGCCCTCGGAAGTGAAAAACGCGGGTTCGATTCCCGCTTCAGCGACTTTTCGGACCTATATTTTTCTCGCTTATTTTCTCCATATGTAAGTTCGAGATTAATTAGACCATAACAATTAAAGTGGAACAGAACTTAAACATGTAAATTTTATGACGAGATGGAAGATGCTTTAGGTGATAAACCAATAATGAAACCAATTTCAATTTCATCAACACTAAAAGAGGTTATATCCAAATTCGATGGGAGCATTATGTAGTTCTGACAGCTGTGATGAAAAAAAGGTCCGGAAAGTGAAAGACGCGGGTTCGATTCCCGCTTCAGCGACTTTTCGGACCTATATTTTTCTCGCCTATTTTTTCTCCATATGTAATTCGAGATTAATTTATATATGGAACTTAGTATCTCAAACCAAGAGATACAGTTCCGAAGAATTAATTTTTCGCGCTTGGGCTCTATTGGCCGATTTAAAATTCATGTATTATTATTATTAATATTTAATTATTAAACTAAAACTTACATTCTAATATTACATGTTTACATAAGAATAAAATTATATATATATGAAAAATTATATAAATGATAAAGAAAAATTATTTTGAACGAGACAAAGTGTTTCTAATAGATTTTTGGATGCTGAAAACGATGCTAACAATAAGCTAATTTTTCGTCATCACATCAGATTTTCGAAATAATTGAGAGTTAATGATTTTTTTTGCGATATTTGAGATTTTTTGTAAAAATATTAACGGTATATGGAAATTCTAATACGTCATGAATGTATTATTTATCCTATTAAAGTGCATTTTCTCATTTGATCTTATTTTTTAGGCATGTTATGAAAAATTGAAGCTAGAAATTGCTTATATAGGGACGAATATCTAAGAAACCTAACTGTCTCGATTAAATAATAAAAAAATTTTTTAAAAACTAGTATTATAATTTTTTTATAGTTTTAATAAATTATATGAAATAATAATGTTTTAGAAGTTTTGATGTCATTTATGTAAACAAATATGAACAAAAATACAAACAAAAATGTATATCGTTTAAAGAAAATGATAATCTTCATTTAATCTTGATTTTTTCCTGGTTATCTGACGTTAGATAAAATCTGACGTTCAGATAGCCAGGAAAATCATAAAAACCCAGTGCTTAACAATTTTCTAAGACTCATATTTTTTTTTAGTTATTCTGCTGTTCCGGTACTTTTGTAACACCCTGTATAACATATAATATTAATTATCATATGAAAAATATTAGTCATTAGATGATCGCGACGGAGAGTTGAAAGAAAAGAGGTCGAAATAAAGTGCAGCACAAATTTAAGAAAGGTAATTCACATACAACTGTTTATTGAGACATGTAGAATACATCTGGTCATACACAAAAATCTTTGATACTTCAAAATCAAGCTCTTAGCCAGAAAAAAGGAATCATGTTATAACATTCTTTTTTAAATTCATCATTAATCATTATGTTTTAACTACGTTTCACACTAAAGTTAGGGGCAACTTGGAGAAATAAAAATTGCGGGAATTATAAAGCAAAGCAAATTAGTAGATAGGAGATGAATAATAAAGAATCCGAAAAAAACACAATTTATAATTGTCAATAATGGTAAAAAATTTCGCGATAAAATTTTGCACGTCTGTTTTTTTTTTATAGCTACGGAGCTGATACGTAGCGCAAAAAATATAACATGTACATGTATCTTTTTTTTTTTCCTTTTTCGGTGTTTGGGGGTGGGTGTTTTTCTTTACTGAATCCTTCGTTAAACTATATCGTACGATTTCCTTCTTTCTCGTTAATTAGTGCTAAATAACATCACGTCACAAAAATGCATATATTCGCAGAAATATAATATATATTTATAATAATTAAAAAAAAACATGTGTTTCGTGGGTCACTTCGATCAATGTTCGCAACGTTTCGCGACCCAAGGATCACACACATTCGACATGAGAGATGGCCAACTACGACATGATAAACCCCGAATGATATGATGATGCCTCGAAGAAAAAAGAAATGTACCACACTAATCATCATCATCATCATCATCATCATCGCAACATCAACATCATCATTATCATTATCGTCATCATCATCACTATTATCGATATTGTCATCATCATCATCATAATCATCATCATCATCATCATTCATCATTCATCATCATCATCATCATCATCATCATCATCATCATCATCATCATCATCATCATCGTCATCATCATCATCATTATTAATCGGGGCGTTGACCGGATAAAAAAAGAGCACGCGGCTACGGCATCGCCAGCCACAGTGTGTGTGTGTGTGTGTGTGTGTGTGTGGTGCAAATATCCTAAAATGCGACCGATAACTCCCCCCCCCCCCCCCCGCCTTCTCCCAGGCACCCCATTACAAATTATCAAATATAAAAGAGGATCAAAGATGATTATACAGGTGGGACAAGGAAAAACAAGAAGAGGGATGGAGATAAAAATAAAAAAAAAGATACGTCGGGTGATATA